TTATTTTTGAAAAATAAAAACATAGTCAAAAAATTTAAAAAGCTAAAAAATCAACCCACTTCCCAAACGATATCAAAATATCACATCTAAATTATAATTATTTCATTTTTTTCTCTCATAAAAATAAAAAAATCAAAAAATTTATCCAAAATAAGACTTTTTAATCACAAACTAAAATAATTAAAAAACCAGAAAACAACACACATTCCAAACGAATCTATAATCTAAAAAATAATGGGCCCCAAAAGAGTACTTCACTTGTTTTAAGCTTGCGCTCCTAATATTTAATATAATTTGCTTTGTACTATTTACCTACTCAAACAAGTTTCAATAGTAAGAAGAATTAATCATAACTAGTATTGCCAAAAAATAATTATAAATTAATAATAAATTTTATAAACATTAATATTATAAGTTTTACTATGAATATATAATTTAAAAAAATATATATATTGAAATGTAATTGTCCCAATAAAAAACCACGACACACAAATTTACGTGTAATTGTCTATATTCACATTACACTATTTTTATTGTATTAAAAATAAGAGTTAATTATCAAAAAGTCCTGTTTACATATTTGGTGGTAGCTTAGGTCCTGTCAAAAAGTTTTGAACCAATAAGTACCATTTATAGATAAAAAGACGTTTTGCCTTTTAATCCCAAAACTGATAATGTTCTCAATTTCAAAACTGAAAATATTCTCAATTTCAAATAGAGAATGATTTCAGTATATAATTATCAAAATTAAAAAATTTCTGTTTAGCTTTTGAGAAAAGTATGGGATAGAAAAGAAAGATAATTCTGTGAATATTCTAAGAAATTTGTAATTATCAATTTTGAGAAATTTTTCAATTTTTTTATGATTAAAATTGAGAATATTATAAACTGAGAAGGTTCTCAATTTTAAAAAACTCTCTCTCTCTCTCTGCAAAAACAGGCTTGCCTCACATTCTACAAATCACAAAAACACAATTCTACATCACCATTGATGATCTAATTCATTATCATCACAAACAAAACCAAATTCTTAGTGACTGTCAGTGATATCTTTAAGTGGCTTTTGAACCTCCCTTATAGCTTTATTGTCAATAGGCAAAGCATAGCTCAACAACACTCTCGGATCCTGGCTTGGCGGCCTTGAGATCAACCTCGACAAATTTGAGAGGTGGATATGCTTGAACAGAATGATGAAATAGATAAATTTGAGACAACATTTACATATAATTTAATACAGCATGCAAATATATGTATATGTATGTGTTGCATACAAGCTAGACAGAGAGAGAGAGAGAGAGAAGAGAATACAATTGAATTGTTATTTGGAACCCTAGCACACTGACATCTAGAAAACAACCTCACCGAACAGATCGAAGTAAGCGCCGGACTGATAAATGAACTCGCCGACGACGGGCGATTGAACCCGCCGTTGCTTCTTCATAGTCGGTGACCACGACAGTCACGAAGAAAACAGAAGAGAGAGAGAGAGAGAGAGAGAGAGAGAGAAAAGAAGTGTGGTTTTGTGTTCCACCGTGAAGTTCAGCGGCAGTGGCGGTTGTACTGAGAAGGAAGGGGGTTTGGATGGGTAAATTGGTCTATTAAAAATTAAGGGACTTAAAGGAGCAAATAATTTTATATAGGACCTAATGGAGTATAAGTTCACAAAATGGGACTTGTATGTAAATGCCCTTTAAAATAATGAAGCTTTTAAAACACGACAACATATACGTGTGCGAGCTCGGCTAATATGTTGTATCAATAAATTAGAAAAAAGATTGAGAGTTTTAAATTAAGAGTTCTAATAGTTTTAATTAGTGTGTGAGTTTTATGTGATGTGATGTATTGACTTTTTTTATTTTTTATTTTTCACATTATTAGTACTCTTTTAGAACTTTCAAATTAAAGGGATATATCATTTCCACAATAAATTATTATGATATCTTTAAAAGGTTTTTAGTTTAAAACTTTTAATTTTAAGATTTTATAAGGCAAATGATATATAACATTTTTATAGTAGTTGAGATTTCTCAATATTTTCACAGAGAAATGTTGGCACAGAGAAATTTATTTTCACAGAAAAATTTCAACTCGTCACATAAATATTATTGTGTGATATTAACTAATAAAAAAAATATATTCGATTTCTTCTACTATCAAAAGTTAAAAAAGACATGTTTCACTAATTTTTTCATCTTTAAATTGCGTTTGGATCATAAATCATCTTTTTTTGTTGTTTATTTGTTGTTGTCATCGTCAAGATTATAGAATATTAGTTTGTTAGTAAAGTTATATTACAATTAAAGGGGTCACATCTATTCCATTAACCTGAATCCTTGACATTTTTCTTACCGCACACTAAAATATAATTACAAGACTACTAGGCCGAACCCAATGCATGGTAAGATATATAGCATTAATGAGCTACGCAAATCAATATGTTACATGTATAGGTTATTAAAGGTGTATGTAGATCCGATTGGTTCTTTCAAAATAAATCAAGAATCAAATTGTAAGAACCAATTTTAGAAAAATTCGAACCATTAAATTGTAAAACCGGACCATAGAAACAGATTTAGTTTTGCGGTTGTAGGAATTTTATATAATAATAAATATGATATTATTTTATGTTAGTAAATAAATTAATAATAATTAATTTGGTTAAGTTGGTTAGAGTTTATCAATTTTATAATAAAGGTTAGTGATCTTATAAAAGATTTTTACATTTTAATTTTTACGTATAAAAATATTAAAAATAAATAAATAAATAAATATGTCAAGGATCGGTTTGGTTCGAAATTGTAATCAAAGTCTTGGAATCAGGAACTAAATCGATTTGAACAGTTCCATCATTTTTAGAAAAAGAACCAAAACTAATAAAAATCAAACCCAATCAAATCAACAGTTTAAACTGAATTAGATCGATTTACAAATTCCCCCATTTTTTTTTTTTTTGTACATCCCTATATGTTATGTATAAATTATGTGTAAATGTGAAATGTGATGCATTTGTATTTTTACATTTCAACTTTCAATTCTTTTTTTTTAAGTAAACTTTTAAAATATTTTAATATCTTTTTTTACCTTTTAGATCTACTTAATTTATATATACTTAAAAAACAAACATTTGTAAAAAATATTTTAAAAAGTCAATAAATACAAAAATATCTTTAAAAAATCAATAATATAAAAAAAATATTTAAAAAGTACTGATTTTTTTTCTTTTTTTTTTTGTATGTGATTTTTTAAAGATTTTCACAAATTTTTTTTTTAGGTGTTTTTAATTGAGTGAATTTAAAAAGCAAAAAATTGATTAAAAATTTAAAAACGTTCACTAAAAAAAAATACAAACTACAAATTTTAAAAAATATTTTTGAACATTTCGAATCAAACAATCAAAAAGTCACAACAAAAAAAATCAACTCTTCTTTTTATTTTTTTACATATCTTTTTATAAAAAATTAAAAAATCAACTAAAGTAATTCTTTTTGAAAAATCCTCTGAAAATTACTTCCCTTAAAGGCGTTTTATGCATGCGGAATTGGTCTCCATTGATTGACCACAACGGTTTTTTCCATTTGTACCATTTTATAATTTAACGAGTTAAAGTGATGACTCTCAATAATTTAGCACGTTTTCATGTAAATAACTCTTCTTTCTATCGTATACAATACATTGCAAACATATCACTATTATTTAGAACTAAACTATCCCCTTGCTCTAGTTGAATAGATCATTATGATCTTGAAAGAAATTACAAATAATTAATTCTAGATAGATCATAATAATCTTAAATGAGATTACAAAGTGAACTCTCCCGTTACTCTAGTTGAATATATCATTAAAATCTTAAAAAAAAATTACAGACTAGACTATCATTATTGAATAGATCCCATTAGAACCACTCATCTAGATTTATAAATTATTATAATGTGATAAATTTGTAGAGGCCTAATAACTTATACATACTCAACACTAATTACATTGGGTTACCTAATAGACTAGTCAATTCTTGAGAGAGTTTAAATGTGCTTGAATCTTCTATATCAATTTCTATATTTTCTTAATAAATTATTATTTTTATAACATTTTTAACTGACACGTGAGATTAAAAATAAAATTTAATTAAATTTGATCACATAATCATTATTGCAAAAGGCAATGCTACAAATTACTTGGCTCATTTATATTCATAACTCCTTACAAATATGCGTTGGGGCTCCTGTAGATATACTGTAGGTGCTAAGGGATAATATTCTCTGGCGGATATGTTGGAATAGCCTATCTGCATATCTATTTTTTTGAATAAAAAAAAAAACTCCTTACAAATATATTTTATAATTATAAAAATACTATTAACAAATAATTTTGTATGATTTATTTATTTATTTTGGGTATAAAATCACTATGTTAACATTTTTGTCCTTTTTGCATAAGTCATAGAGTCAATGCATATTTTTTCCGCACGAATATTCAATGAAAGTGACAAATTAATCTCATGACAGAGCGAGAGAGAAAGAGAGAGAGGAGTTAGCGTTGCCATTTTGGGCCGTTTACTTTCTCTCTCAGATTTTCCCGGGAAAATTCCAGCAGCAATTGGTCGGCAACACGTGGCGAATCCTCATTCGTCTTGTTGCGCTGGTACACGCTTTTACGCGTGTGGTGCCTTTGCAATTCCGCAATGTGAAACTCAATTATACACACGCATATATATACATAATATAACTATTGATTCTTTCTTTGGGATAGTTTATTGGGAGACAAAGAAGATTCTTGGTTTTCTATGGTGAGAAAAAAAAGTTATATCAATCTATATATACGACTACAAACTTGTGCTTTGAATTGGGACTTTCAAAACTCGCTTGATTTCATTTCTGACTTTTTATTATAGCCAAGAACTCCAAAAGCCTAGGCTAGAACTTCTGGTTTCTGGGTAGGCTCTTTAATTTTTTTTTTTTTTTTTTTTTTTCCCGTCTCTTTATTCATTTGGGTCTGTTCTATGTATCAATTTGTCAACTGGGTTTATGTCTATATATATGTATATGTACTACAGTGAGTGCTAAAGAAACTATGGTTGGTCCAATTTAGTCATTTTTTGAAGATATTAACATTGGAATGATTTGGGTTTGATCAATATATGAACCTGTCAACTGGGTATATGTCTATTTCTGTATATGTATTCAATGTTAGATAAACTATTGTTGGTCTAATTTAGTCATTTTATTGAAGATATTAGTACTTGAATGTCATTGAAATTGTATTTCCTTTGGTAGTCCTGGATTTCTTTCTGTTAATTCATTTGGGTCTGTTTAAAATATGAAATTGACAGCTGGGTAATATGTCTGTGTGTGTGTCTATGTATACAATGTTAGATAAACTAATTTAGTCATTTTCTTGAAGATATAAGAATGATATGCAAATTCTATTGCCTGTGGTAGTCCTTGATTTCTTTCTGTTAATTAATTTGAGTCTCTTCTATTTATGAACTTGTCAACTGTGTATATGTGCATATATGTCTAACGTTAGAGGAACTATGGTTGGTCTAGTTTTTGTTTTTTTTAAGATACTATTATTAGAACAACATGTCAAGTGAAATTAAACTTCATTTTCTTTCCACAGTTGGAGGATCTTCATATTTAGGTCTGATGGCGGTTAAGACAAATGGGTTCGTTGCACCCGATGAATTGATGAAGCTACTATTAACGTTGTCTTCAAATTGGGGGGATAAGATTGATACAAATATGTTAAAAGTGGCACACTTGAGTGGTGCCATGACTAATGAGGTTTACCAGATAAGCTGGCCTACACAGATGGAAAACGATAATAGAACGGTTCTAGTTCGGATTTATGGCGAAGGAGTAGAGCGTTTCTTTAACCGAGATGAGGAAATTCAGACATTTGAGAACATATCAAAGTATGGCCAAGGGCCTCGACTTCTTGGACGGTTCTCAGAAGGGCGAGTGGAAGAGTTCATTCATGCTAGGGTATGCAAGAATTTGATTAAATGCAACATATTATCTCATTTTCATTTTTAATTTAGTTTTCTTTTTTCTATATATGGTCTAAAGTTAAATTAAGTGAAAGTTTGCTATATTCATTATCTATGATACCTTGTATTTTTTATTTTTTGTGTTATGTTTCATACCATTTAATCAAATAAAAAAATTTCATAGCATCTTCGGAAGTAGATTAACCACACAAACTGAACTAAAACACAAAAGAGTTGGACTAAATATACTGATTTGAGTCTTTTACTATCTTGTTTTTAATTTGTCAGACACTATCAGCTGGTGATCTTCGCGACCCTGAAATATCTGCTTTAGTAGCAGCTAAGTTGAGGGAGTTCCATAATCTTGATATGCCTGGTCCCAAGAAAGTGGTTCTCTGGGACAGAATGAGGTACCTAGCTAAAGTTATTGTTTGGTTTGGTTTTCTGTTTTAAAAAAGAACCCATCTCTTAAGAAACCCCAAAAAGTTAGTTCTCAAAAACTGTTTTTACACAAAGATGATAACAGAGAAAACGAAAACACGGTCAAAGGGGAAGCAATAGCAGATTTCAGCATAAAATGGACTCATTATTTTCTTCCTCAGAAACTGGGTTGGTGAGGCCAAAAGTTTGTGTTCCTCTGAAAACACAAAGGAATTTGGCATTGATACTTTGGAGGAGGAGATTTGCATACTGGAAAAGGAGTTGTCCCGGGAGTACCAAGAGATTGGGTTTTGTCATAATGACTTGCAATACGGTAACATAATGATGGAGGAAGAGACGAGATCAATCACTATAATTGTAAGTTTTCTGCTCCATTTTTGGTTATCTATTGTAGAAAGTTTTCAGCACATATTCTTTGTTTCCAATTGATTTCTTGACATTCCATTCCAATGAAAATAGTTTTCGCAGTGTGCCAAAACAAGTTTTTAATGCTTTTCAAAAAATTGAGAACAAAAAATGAAAATGCAACCAAACATGCTAATGATTTTGTAAATCACCAGGGTAAATTAATTTTATGCATTTTTTTGTTTATTGAGCTAAAAGCTTAGTTGCACTCTAGATTTAACATTTTCCATGTACCGGTGTTTACTTTCATATTAAAGAAAATTAGTCTCTATGCCTCCAATTTGATTTTTTTTCTTTCAAGGTTTTGGAAACAGAAAATTGTTCAAACAATTTTGCAGAATTTTAAAATGTTCCATTTCACATTCAACTAATACTAGTAGTGCACACAACCCGTCTTTTTGAAGAAACATGCTCAAATAACATTCATCCAAATGAACATTTGCCTTTATTTATTTGTTGCTTTTACAGGATTACGAGTATGCCAGTTACAATCCTGTTGCCTATGACCTTGCAAATCACTTCTGTGAGATGGCAGCAAACTATCATACTGAGACACCTCACATATTAAACTACAGTGTGTACCCGGGTAAGCAATTTTTTGGGTTGTTCATAGTGTCTAATTGCCTTAACTTTCACCTCTCTCCCTCTTCCCTTGTCTTGTATGTCAAGTTAGATAGCACCAGTTTCTTTTAACTGATTAGGTTGATTTTCATAATCAACAGGTCTAGAGGAGCGTCAAAGATTTGCACGAACATATCTTATTATTTCAGCAGGTTAGTTAATTACTTTACGTTTTTGTTTGGAAATTATGTAGCTGTGCCACTTGCACGAAAATATAACACACAAAAAAAATAAAAAAAATCAAAGAATAGAGACAAGAGGGGGGTTCAATACATGGGACTCACACATGTGGGGCCGCCGCCTTGTCTCTCGTCTGTGGACCTTTCTGTGTTCCGTTTTGTATTAGTAGATGATTTTCGGGATATTATGAGAGACAACTATATTTTGTTTTCAGAAATACGGTGTCTATGTTAAACTGTTTAAAAACTCTAGAAGTCAAGAGTACAACAATAGATTTTTGTTCAAGGTTAGGCTTCCTTTTCTCCTCAACACATGCATTACTCAAACTTGACCATTTCTCAACTTCGCCATTTAGATTCAAGTTTGTTAAAATCAGGATCTTACCTAATATCAGAGTCTTGTGGTGTGGATCAAGTATTGTAAGATCCTACCTTCTACTTAAAAAAATAAAAAAAAAATGAAATCAAAAATCTATGTATACTGATTTTACACCCATTTGGATAATTGAGTAATCCAGGCACGATCTTATGATCTGGGTTGCGATTTTGATAAGCATGGTGTTTGCATTCCAATGACCTTTAAGCAACAAATATCCAAAAAGAGGAAAGAAAAGTCTTCTATTCTTGTCCACGCAATGCAGTCTTGAATTTCTTGTTTGGCTTTAAGTGTAAAGTGTAAACCTAATACATACATATCGTTGTTGACCCGGAATAGCCTACCCAAGTGACTTTTAAGACAACATAAATTCAAAGAGGAATTGTTAAATTTCACAGTATGCTTTTCAACCCTTGCTTGCCCTGAATTTCTTGTTTGCTTTCTTGGACAACAGTGCGGTGACAATCATAATAATGAGAATTTGTTGAACTTTGTTAAATTGATTAGTTTATACATCCACATCAAGTGGTATGCAATTCTGTATATTTTGTTGAATTGATTGAAAGCAACTCTTGAGAGAAAGAGAGAGAGAGACTTCCTCTTCCTCTTCTTTTTTTTGTTTTTTTTTTTTTTTTTTTGGGTGGTATTGATCAATAGCAAGATTGAACCCTTTGTTTGAGAATTTTTGCATGTACTTCACATATTGGTTACATAGCTCCCCCACCGACTGATTCAGTTATAGCTTTGGGATATACAGTTCTCATAAGTTGCACTTCATTGAATTTATAGTAAATACAATAAAGAAAAATATATAGAAAACATAATGTAAGCAATTGATTGTAAGCAACTCACCAAAATTAAAACCTAATGTGGTAATAAGGGCCTTATTGCAGATCACAATTGAAATTGAAGAAACCACTAATAGACTCAACGCGCCAACGGTCCCGAGCTGAAACCTCTTGCTCTCAATCATCTTCTCTCTTTCTTTTCTCAAATCACAACACCTTTATTTCAATCTAGCAACAATGCATAAAAAAATAAATAAATTAATACATAAATAAAATTTAAAAAAAAAAACCCTAAATTTCACAGCAAATGAAAAAAGAAAATTACAAAAGAAAATCTGAAATAAATTACAAAAAACTTCATAACTTGTTCTAGATATGCTCGAGAAGAGCACAAATTTGAAAGTGAAACAAACTCAATTTTTTAAATTAAAACCAGACAATGAAGAAAAACAAATTAAAATCAGTACATTTCAGCCATTCATTCAAAGTACTAGATCTGATCCCTAAATGAATGAATATATGTAGAGATTGGAGAGACTTACAGTTTGAGCTTGATCAACAGAATGAGAAAAAAATCAGGGGCTTGTGATTGCATGTTTATGTATATCTTCAGAGCCAGTGTAACCACCGAACTACAGATATATATATATATATATATAAATAGTATGTATCAAATCACCATTGACAAGCAATATTTTAAGGTAAATCAGATCTCAGAAGAGCAGAGTAGAGAGAGAGAGAGAGGCGAAGAGTCATGGTTGCTGACTTGGTTTCTCTTTCTCTCTCTCAGCCCTTTCTACGCGGGTTGTACGGGCGGTTTGAATACCTACATAAATAAATAAAATAAAAAAATACAAGGAAAGACCGTCCAAGACACGCGCTTTCAGGGGCGTCAGAACAAAAAGCTGTAAATAAAGAAAACTTAGGGGACTTATGTACTGAAACAAAAGTAGACTTTTTATTGTTTAAAAGTATCTTCAACGGTATTTGTTAAAATATTATTATTATTATTATTATTATTTGATAATAAATAGTAGTAATTTATCAAGTAATAGTGTTCCAATGGCACACACATGTTATTCTGACAAAGGAAAATGAGTGAGAGCACTAATTAGTGCTACCACTAATGTTGTGGCAGTGAGTCCCACCATGAATGATTTGATGTTTTAGCTTTAGTGTTGTATTTTTTTTTCTTTTTTTATTGAGTGCCATGTTATTAGTGGTATTTTTAGAGTTTCAAAATTAGTGGTCTCTATCATTGTTGTTCTGACAAATCCCAATCAACTTTCTCTCTAAATTTATAAGTGTTATTTGAATATAAATTTTTTAGTAATTTTTTTTTTGTTTATTTTATCTTTTGTGACCATTTAAAAAAAATGAAAAAATAAATTACTCTTTTTTGAAAAAAATAAATAAATTACTCGCTGAGATAAAACTCATTCCAAAACCTTCATACCAAACTTTTCACCCATATGAGATTAAACCCATTAAAAAAAAACCACACTTTCATTCTGCTTTTCTGAGCTTCAAAATAGAACAACCTACAACAACCAACTCCATCTATCTATCTCTCTCTCTCCCCTCAATCTTTCTCTCTTACCCCCATGAAAATAAAGAAGATCAAGCTGAAGTTTCAAAATGCTGAAATTATCTGAAATCCATCAAGCATCTTGAAATTTATGTATTTATTGTTTAGAATTTGCTTCAAATTTTCAGATTACTTGAGATTTGCTTCAGATTGTTTGAGATTTGTTAAGATTGTTTCAAATTTGTTTGAAATTGCTTGATTGTTGTTGTTTTTAACCTAATTCGGTCCTTTTTTTTTTTTTGAGTTAATGGTGAATTTTGTTTCAAAAAAAAAAAAGAAAGAAAGAATTTGGCAATTGCCAAATTGTTTTAAAAAATTGGTAAACGAATTCTGTTTTTCTACGTGAATGGATTCTGTTTTGTCAATTAAATTTGGAGCCAAAAATCTGTTAATTCTTGATGATGTGGCATGTTTGGCAAATGCCATTTCTATTGTCAAATTTGGCAACAAAAATGGCATCTGCTATGTTTAGCAGGAGGAATAGCATGCCATTTGAGACCATTTTTTTTCACTTTTGTCAAATTTTAGCTTTGGCAGCTCCTTTGGCGATACCATTGGAGATGCTCTAACGAGGCCTATAATAATAAATATATTTTTTATTAAATATTATTAAAAAAAATACTACTAATTTTTATAATATTATTCTTATTTGAATGTGATTAATTTATGGGTTAAATTTACTTTTTGTCACTATTTTTTTTGTTTCATTCCAAGACTATCAATTTTATCTATTTAGTCCCTAAAATTTCATATGATCTAATTAAAAATGATTGTAGAAATTACTAACTGTTGAAACTTGACTTGACAGACAAACAAGTTAATTTTAAAATTTAAACAACTTAAAATCAAGCTTCAACGGATTTAAAATTTTAAAAAAGTTAATTAAATTTTGAAATTTCATTTATGCCATCAAATTGGTTTCAATTGACCAATAACACGAATCCAACAATCACCACAAAAATAACACAAACTATGTATAACCCCCATAATAGGGTTATCTTTTTGTTTTTTTTTTTTTGGTTGATACAACAGAAATAACCATAATAGGGTTATCTCACTCCAAATTCAAAACACACAACACAAACCCCCCCAACATCACACCACAAGATAATGCTACACAATCATTAAATCAAATTTCTTTGTACAAAAGAATTTAGAGACTAAATAGATAAAAATGATAATTTAAGAATGAAATTATAAAATATATATTTAATGACAAATACACTCTTTGAAATTTAATTAAAATACAAATTATCTTCTGTGATTCTGAAAAGTACAAACACCCCCTTATTAGAATTTTTTTTTATTTAACAGAATTAACAGAAAAAATAAAATTCCTAACTACTATCCTATATAGCAATAAAATTACCCAAATTGTTAACAAAAATATATTTCTAATATCATTAAAAATTGTTAATTAATTTCATAATTTTTTAATAAAATAATCATTTGTCTTGCGGTTAAAAACTTGAAGGGATAATGTGTAATTTTTAAAATTATAAGAGACAATTTATATTTTAAATAAATATCAAAAGATATATTTATAATAACTTGATAAATTTTTAATAAAAATGATCATTTGTTATACGATTAAAAATTTAAAATAATAAAATATAATTTTTAAAATTACAAAAAATAATGTGTATTTTGGACAAATCTTTTATATTCATATTCAACGATGATTCGTGGACACAGAATTTTCGTCCATGGTGGGCGAGTAGGCCAGTGACTTATCTTACCTTCAACCTTAAAAACCAAAAGCAACTTTTATATTAAACAAGGGCCTGGTTTTCTCCGGTCCAATCTGGGATTAGAGGATGCTGTTGAAAGTATAGGAGCTCATTTGGAGTCTCGTTTCGATAATCTGTACTGTTTAATATGTAAAACTTGTTGAGTATTATATGATTGTAAAAAATCACATTGATCGGATATCGATAGCTATCTCATTGGATTAATTTTCTATCAACTGCCTATTTTTTACTGTCTATTTTTTTATACAAAACTGATTTGATTACATAGCTATCGATATCCGATCAACGTAATATTTTATAGCCATATAATAATCGATGAGTTCTACACATTAAACGGTTCGGATTATTGAAATGACCCAACAACATCCTTCAATCCGATGGAGGATTAGAGAAAATTCAGTGCCTAAAACATAATGAATGAGAATTCTAAATTTTGAATTCTAGAAGAGTTGTAACTG